ATCATTCCAATAACTTGTATATAGACTCATACTGCACTATTCCACATCATAACTTTATTTCATTTTTATAACTATTACTATTTTTGTATTGCTCTTGCTCTTATTGTTATTATGTTATGTTATTATGTTGCATTGTTGGAGAAGCCTGTGACATAAGATTTTCAACTGCATAATTACTCTGTAGCTATGTCAGATTGACAATAAAGAACCTTGAACCTTGATTGGAACAGTCCTTCGGCGGGACTCGATGACGTAGCATCCTTGAAATACTGGCTCTGGAGGAGCCTTCCTCGACATTGAGAAACACCCTCTGACTGTGTGGCCTAGATAAAACAGGATACATCTGCTGCATTTTTAATTGCTTTAGGCTCAGTTGTGTTAATTCTACACAAGACGGCCCTCACGCTGAAATACATTTGAGATGCAAACTGGTTCAACTGTCATATCATTTTGTCATAAAATAAAATGTACACAGAATACACTGATCCTGTGCTTTACATGCATTTATATTTCTCAACCTATACAGTAGACGGCTGATGTGCCTGCAGTCGGATATTTTAACAAGCTAGCACAGTTTAAACTGTCCTTTTTTTAAATTAAATTGTGAGTATTAGGACTGATTTGAGACACTTTTCTCAGTAATCCATCCAAATCCCTCGTCTCCTCATGCCAACTATCTTAAAAATGGATTAAATGACTGTGAAAATACAGAGAGTTTAAACTCAGGGCAAAATTACTCATTTACAGCTCCGCATTATCCACCTAAAATTAAACCGAGGGCAAAGGAGAATCAAGTACATGAACAAACAAAGAGGAATATCTTGGCAGGATGAACCATTTCGATTTCAGACAGCTCACCTCAGGCCACTTCTCTTGAATCACGTCGATTATGTCATCTGTAAAGTCTCCCTGAATGATTATTTCATCCTCTGCTGTCACTGAGGCACCACAAGAGAATTTCTGGGCAAAGAATCGCTGAGCCTCTTTGAGTTCAATGTCTGCAAGAGTCAACACAAGACATATGTTAAGATTCAAGCAAAAAGAGAATTAGGCGATGTTGAGAATGACAAAAGCACAACAAATATCTTACCAAATGTTGCCATGCCGCACACTCTTGTGACATATTTCTTCTTGGCTCTTGGGATTTTTGCTATTGTGATTTTCTGAGGCACAGTCTTCTTTTTCTGTTTGATCTGGCCTCTTCCACCTTAAAAAGAGTAGAAGCAAATTTAGCAAAATAGTTTTTCCTTTTGTTTGGCTTTAAATGATAAAACTCCACACAACCTGGGATGTTGAGTATAATCATATTAGAAAGCACAATAAACCAACAATGCTACATATTAGAATCCAGACCATAATAAAGTTATGATTCTTAATCTTTTCATTAAGTTCAGGGAGGCTGTGGCGCAGTGGACTAGTGCGTTGGTGTTCGTGATCAGGGGAGCACAGGTTCAAACCCCACTGCAGTCAGCATGTCGTTGTGTCCCTGGGCAAGACACTTCACCCCAAATTGCTCCTGTGGGGATTGCCCACAGTATTGAGTATGTAAGTCGCTTTGGATAAAAGCGTCTAACAAGTAACATGTAATGTAACATGTAATTAAGTCAAACACCGTTTTTGATACTATAATATTCAAATTGTCTTCACGTGCTCAAGAACACAACAAAAAATGATGCATGCCAGGTAACCAAATCTAGCAGAACTGAACGAGGCAGGTTAACCATGAAAACTCTAAGTATTGACACAAATAAATAAATGTACAACTATCACTGTGACACCCAATAAAAAGCCTAATAGAAAATGCCTTTGACATTTGACATTATACCTCTCTTCTGTTTCTTTTTCTCCTCCTCCTCGCCTCCAGGGGGAGAGTCTCCAGTGCCAACTTCCTGCAGGGGAGCATTCGATGCCGGGCCTAAAGTGCAGAAGGACAATAGGAAGACATTAAAACCAAATCCTGCAATAAAACTATATAGGCACACCTGAATATTCTAGTAACAGGCTAGCCCGGCTGCTAAACATGGTGACCATAACAGTATGGTTTTTGTTTTAAGTTTGACGTCAGTACAGCACTTAAGACCATAAATGTATATATATTGCCCAGCTATAACGTGGTAAACACATATCACATCATGTGACGATTCCGAAATGTTCACATAATGTCCCCATCCACACTATTTAACAATGCATTAATAATGAATCCATCAAATCTATACTGCCCATATATCTTTTCTTAGGAGACACCTTTTTAAGGTTCAGCATGAAGACTTTGGGTGATTTAAAGAAAAACAATTTTGGTTAAAATCTGAAATGGCTCACTCACCTACTGTCATCCTGGCAAACACATCTGGAAAGTTCTTCTCAAGCCATTGCCTACATTTGGCTGGCTCTGGCATGTACTCACAGTACTGCAGACACAACAGTGTAGATTCAATATGTTAGAGAATTACCTAAATATAGTTTAACTTGTAAATTAAGACTGTATGCATGAACAAAAGTTATATATCCGTTTTTTGTTTGTGAATTCAAACTTACCTCTGTAGGCAGAGAGCACACTGCAAAGAAACAAAAAAATAAAGACCGTCACATTTTGAAATCTTACATACAAACATCTTGTAAAGATAAAATAACAAAAGCCTTTATTGATCCCATTGGGTAAAATTCAGATGTGGAAGCAGCACAAAGATAGGAAACGGTACTGATGGAAAGAGAAGTAAAAATAACACAATAACAGATATAAACAACTAAAATAAGAACATAAGGATGCAAGAGCCATTGAAGTGGCAAGCATAAGGCAAGAATAATAACACTAGTAGTGTTTACTGTAGATGGGGCCCCTATAAGCCTCGCAATTCTGCCACCAGGTAGATCTCCCAGGGTAAATGAAAGCTCTTTTTAAATGGCACAAAGGAAAAGTTTCATCCTCTGGGTGTACAGAACCACAAGAGAATAGCTCCTTTGTAGCTATTGCAGTATCCTCAGTCACCAAAGAGTATCACTATAACTTCTTAGCAGTCCCCAGTAATGGAAATGGCAGAACAACTGAAGTAACTTTCAGACACAAAATGCAGTGTGTCGTAGTCTTTATGAGAGTGGCTCTGACAATAATGCCATTTGGAAATGCTCTGGGGATTGGGGTAGTCTATTGCCCCTTGAAAGACAACGTTTATTAGGCATGTGACATGGTGTGCTTGGTAGTGAGTGTAGTAAATATGTAAACAGTGTACCCCAGAATAATATATATTGTGAATAAGTAATTCTACTGAGAGCAATCTGTATTAATATATAATGTATGTAAATATAGTATGTAACTTAGCAAGAAGGTAAAACATAATATAGTATGATATCATATAGTGTGGTAAAGTATAGTATGGGAATAAGACAAACTGAGTAAAACGTTATATACTGTACCTCCACAGTAAAGAACTTTCAGTGGATATTTTGAATTAGAACTATAAGTATAATCTGGTTTGCTTTCCAAAGAACCGGATTCCATCTCAGTAGTAGCCATCACAACGTATCTGGATAGAAGACAGAAATGGAAAAAACATAAATAAACAAGGCCAATTTAAATCTTGGTGTGAATCAGACTATAAAATAAAGTGTTCAGTCTTCATTCAAACCCAACAACAAGTGATAAAATGTGTTATTATCAGACTCTGCTGTAGGCAGTAGTTGAATGTAACTAAGTACATTTACTGTAGTAAGTGGAGTACACAAGTACAATGTTGAGGTACTTTTACTACTACTTTAAATTATTAATTCCATCTATTGCTACATTAAACATTTCACAGGCGAATATTTAACTTTTGACTCCTACATTTAACTGACTACTATAGTTAATAGTTATGATACAGATTCAGAATAATACAAAATAAACAAATATATTATGACTTATTATTAAAGAGTAAATAGAGTAGTGAAACTCCACCTTTGCCAGCTTAGACATTAAAGACGCTTACATATAAATGCATAAACAATTACATTCGTATAGAAAAATATTTCGCAGAATGATTTATTTGACTTTTGGCACTTTAGGTACATGCAGATGCCAACACTAGTATGCCTAGAATTAAGGTAAAATCGGAATGCATGATATATCCCTTCAAACTGTATTATCACTATTGGATATTACTACTATAGTAAAATATATTTTCTGACTGTTGGCACGAGTGAACAAGGCTCCTGCCAATATTTCATCATGCTAGCCTGCCCAAATCACAGATCAGTAACATGAGCAGCAGCAGCAGCAAGCTAGCCAACATCATGACACAGGCGTATGTGAACTGAAATAGATCGCAGGTCAGTCACAAGGGGGCTAATTTAATACACAAAAATCAGCAGCGAAATAAATAGTAGATTTGATAGCATCGTAGCAGTCATCAGAATTACTAGCTTTAGCTGGCTAACACATGCGGCTGATTTAATAAATACACCAATTAGCTAAACTACGTGTTAAGTATATGATTTACTTTTGCCGTGGACACTATGATCATATAGACAGCCTGTACTTTTCTGTTAAAATATACGCTAATTTAGTTTGAGAGGTTTCCTTCATCAGGTACCGTTGACTTACCCAGCTGTCACCGTCAGCACCAGTTTAATGGGGCTTTAGCTTAGCATGCTAAATGAGCTAACGCTAACTTGCCAGGTTCTGCTATTCAATAACAGAATACAAATAAAAGAGATGTCGAGTTACGTACCCTGTGAAATATCCTCTTAAAACTGATGTCTGTTCAGTAAATCCACTTGCATTATTAACGTTAGTTTGACTTTTAGAAAACCATTCTTATTGAATAAGGTGTAGTTGGCGTACTTTGAGCACGCCTAGTAGCGGTTCTTGTTTTTTGTAGTTGTTGAAGTGGATGCTGGTTCGCAGCGCTGATGAGCCACAGCGCACCCTGGTGGCCGGAGGGCGAATTTACTAAACCCTTTTTATAAAATGTCTAAATAAGTCAAATTAAAACGATTCCACTCCAAATAAAACTGTTCCAGTACAGTGTTTAGTTTTATCATTAACGTTTTTAAATTTAAGTGAAAATATTTTGTAAAAATACTGCGGGATGTACGTTGGCGTGACGTAATCGTTGTTGTTTTCCCAGTTCGATCATTTACATTCAAAAGTAAAAAGAAGCTAACGTTAGCTAGTTAGCAATTTCAGTTTTTTAGAGACACTTTTCAACCAACGATACTTGAATACGTTTTGGAGATAAATGCTATAGAATATAAGCGTGTAACTTGTTTAGCCTATGTTGCTGACTATAAGTTAACTTTGGTGGTACTTTATCGTTAGCCTTACTAACTTAAGCCAGCTGGCATGCTCCTCAAAAGATGCCCAGTACAAGCTCTAAACAACATCAATGAACATAATACGAGGAGTTGCTGAAATATTAGTGGATGTAACTGTTGTAAATGGACGAAGGGAAAGTAAATGGAAGAGCTTCAGCATGTTTCCCCTGGTCAAATGGTAAATAATAACTCTATAATTTTCTTTACCAACAATAATCACATGTGTGTCTTTTATTCGAAATGAATGACAGGAAATTTCAACTATCCAACATCCACTTTAACTTGCAGATACTTCAGCTGAGCCCTGGCACAGCACACCAGTTAAAAAGTGACATTTCTGTTAAATCCACTTAAGAAATAAATGCATTCTTATTGTCTGATTGTGATGTGTGTACGTGCTACTTTCCAGATAAATGGTGGTGATTCTCTGGATGCCATCCCACTGTCTGTCTCTAGCAGCTTCAAGATGGACAGCACAGCAAAACAGTGGGCCACACTAACACCTCCTATACCAGCAGCAGAGGTGGGAGAAGTACTCAGATCTTGTACTTGAGTAAAAGTAGGAGTACTAGAGTGTAGGAATATTCTGTTACAAGTACAACTTCCTAAAAACTGTTACTCAAGTAAAAGTACAAAAGTATAAGCATCAAATGTACTTAAAGTCCCAATATAGATTATTTGTTTAGATTATAATTATTGATGCATTAATGTGTTTATCAAAGTTTGCAAAGGTGCGGTTTAATTACTTTGTATACTGTAAGGTAGTTTGTGAATTGACTACAGCTGTAACTAAAGTCTCATTTAAGTGTTGTTTATATTTCACATCATTTATCCAAATCTGTAAAGTAACTAAAGGTACAAAATAAATGTAGTGGAGTAAAAGTAAACGATTTACCTCTGAATTGTAGTGGAGTTGAAGTAAAAAGTAGCATAGAATTGAAATACTCAAGTAAAATACAATAATCTCAAATTGTACTTAAGTACAGTACTAAATCGACTTAGTTACTTTACACCTCTGACCAGCAGACACCCTCTGTCCACCCAGCTCACAGAAAACTGTAGTGAGATTTTTTGGAGCTATGATTTGACTGTTTACAGTGTAGATTGTGCATTGTTACTCATACACATACTCTAAAGTGGGCTTTATTATGGTGACATTAGCTTGATGTGTCTTCCTGTGTGCTTTTGGAAAAGTTTCCTGTGAATGACCCGAGTGGCTGCACCATCCAGAGGCAGAGGAGGGAGCTCCAGCTGCTGATGGCGGAGCTGAAGGACAGGGAAAGGGAGCTGAACACTATGGCTGCCTCCCATCACAAGCATCTTCTTGCCTGGGAACAAGACCGGCAGAGGGTGCTCGCCTTGGAGCAAAGCTGTGCCCGTTTCGAAGGTGAGGACACAGAGATCTTCCTTGATTTGGGGGGGCTGTGACTCAGTGGATAGAGTGCTGGACTTTGAATCAGGGGGTAGCAAGTTCGAGTCCCACTGTAGTCAGCATGTCGTTGTGTCCCTGGGCAAGACACTTCACCCCAAATTGCTCCTGTGGGGGTTGTCCTCAGTACTGAATGTATGTAAGTCGCTTTGGATAAAAGCACGACCAATCATTTTAGCCGGCCCGGCTAAAATAACTGGATGGCCTACCTGCCTGTCAGCCTTCCATCTGTGCACAAACTTATCTCGTACCCTCATTGGTCATGTGCGCGTTCGTGTGTGTTGGAGGAGGGGCTCTGTAAGGAAGTGGCAGATTTTCTCTGGCTGTGTAATTTCAAATTCTAGCGATCTCGAGCTGGTTTCTCCAAAATTACCTACCCCACCTTTAATATTATTTTTATCATCAAAATTGTTGCAAGTTGTTTTTGTTTCTAGTAACTTCATAAATCAGCCTCACATTAATTCTCAAGCCCAAGATGTGTTGATGTGACTGGTGGGTAGCCCCACATTATGAAAGTGATTTTTTGTTTTGTTTGTGCAGATGAGTTGCAGAAGCGTAACAAGGTGATCAGAGTCCTGACTAAGCGTGTGTGGGTGGTGGAAACCAGAGAGGAGGAGGTCCAGAAGGAGCTCAGCTTAGCCAAACAGAAGCTCTGTGAGCAGCAGAACATCAGTCAAAAATGTCAAGACTTTGAGGTACAAGTTATTTGCTAATACACACTTATATCCTCTATACAAAAATCTGCTTACATCTTAAGGCAGACAAATAGCACCAGGATTGCTACCAATGCCATATAGCAGGATTCTTTTATAAACCAGAATCTCCTTTATCAAAGTTATTATATTTCTGCCTTGGGACTTAGTATCTCTGCTTTTAGGTGTAATTGTATGTGGTTTCTCTTAGGAGAAGAACCAGAGTCTGAACTCCACTGTCATGGTGCTGTCCACTCAAGTAGGCTCTCTGCAGGTCAGGGAGGAAGAACTGAGTTCCATGCTCAAACTCAAGGTACAGTATATATAGTATTACAACATTTTGTTTCCATGAATACTGATTATGATTAATTTAAATTGTATCAGTGTCTGATTTTTTTATATTCTGCTAGTTGGTTAATATTATTTTTTCCCCGCATCAGGAGAAAGATTTAGTTGAGGCCTCTGTTCATGTGGTCGACCTCACAGCGAGGCTAAGAGATCTGGAGACGTCGCTAACGGAGAGTCGCTCCCGAGAGAGCAAACTCCAGAGAGACTCAGAGGAAAACAAACGTCGCTGCAAAGAGGCCAGGCATGAGATCACACACCTTAAAGGTACATCAATAAAAAAAACTGATGCTTTTATTTTGTGTTAATTGACTAATTCATTAAGTGTCTCATAATTTCAGCTATTCATGTATTATTTGCCCCTGTGTTTGTAGAGGATCTGCAGCAGCAGGTCACACAGAGCAGCACTCAGAGGGAAGAGATCATCCGTCTGAAACAGGAGCTCCAGCTGCTGCACAGAGATCTGGCCTTGTCAGGTACAATGATCTGCAGCACTCCACATCCATCCTCTTCCTATCAATGATTCAAAGCTATTTATTTGGTAAAAATATTAAGATATATTGTCTTTGTCGTTTTAATCTGTTTCTGGATTTTATTTATCAATTTTCTGTTTTTATTTCTTAAGAATTTAAATCCATTGCACATTTGTTTTTATATTGCGATATTTATTGCAGTTATTTGACTGATATCATTTTCTTTTTGATGTTACGTGTTTTCAGGTTCTTGAAATCTTCATTTAAAAATAAAAAAAATAAAAATTATAATGAATTATTCAAGTGCTGTAGCTAAGAATTATTTGTATTATCAATACATCTATTTATTACTTTTTCTTTTAATAATATAACAACAGTAAAAACAGCATTCCTCACTGAGAAGCCGGAGTCATGAATATTTGATTTTTGAAATGATCAGAGAGATGAATAATGTCTGCACTAAACCATACAGTAGTTTGTGGTACAGTGAAAAGCATACTTGGAGATAATGTCAACCATGTTTGGTTTAAGAGTCAAGTCAGTTACAATGTTTATAATCCCGTTTTCCCTGCAGCCTACATATCTTGATTTTAATCTGTGCAGTAGCTGTGATAAACGAATGTTCCTGATAATTGCAGCGCTTCATGTTTGTCACCAGGTGAGGGAGACAGCTGGAGAGACGAGCTGCTGGAACTGGCTCGCTCCAAACAGGAACGCACCATGTCAGAGCTGCACTGCATACAGCAGGTACCACTTAGTTTAATAACTCAGGGGGCAGAGGGCATATATAAAGGTCATAGCCAACAATAACTCTCTCTTAACTTCACAATGTGGCTTCAAAATCAGTTATGAATGAACAAAATATACTTTTATAATTACACTTGTTAGATCACAGATTAGGCAATGCTTCTTTCCACATATCTGCTCGTCAGACTTTTGTTGACGTCAGATGAGCCTTTCTGGTTTGGCAGCATACCTCCTGCAGTCTGTGGCTCTGGGTCAATGTCAGGTCCATAACATGTTCAAACCAATTCTTAGACTGTCACAAGAATTTAATGACTTATGTAAATCAGTGTTGTTTTGATCTATAAGATATAAGGTTAAGATACGTCTTTATTGTTCCCCCCTGGGAAACTGTGGGTTATATCTCTCACAGGCTCCGCCATCTACTGGACTCTATGGGTACTTCCCCTTGATCCTATCATGCAAGCATTCATCCACTGAGACTTTCTAGACGTAGCCCACCCCGGGGCGGGCCTACCTGAATGCGCGCACATCTCACCGTATAAAAGGAGGCCTCGCCTCCTGACTGTCATCCCTTTCTCTTCAGCAAGGCAGTGAGACACAACTGAGTGAAGAGAGACCGATAAAAATATAAAACAACGAAGAAAATTGACTCACCATTGGAGCGCCCCTGTCCTTCGTGTCCGGGCGCCATAGAAGGCGCGGACCCCACCGTCAGTGCATTGAGTGCCTGGGGTCCGACCACGCGGCGGCCAACCTGGGCCCGCTTGCGGTCTGCAGCGTCTGCCGGTTGATTCCTCGCCCCAGCCGCCATTTGCGGCTGGCGCAGTTTGAGGACTGCTACGTCTCGCCGGTGGAGGACCCAGAGCTCGACGTGGTGGAGATGGAGGACCTTGAGGAAGGAGTGCCCTTCATGTTCGCCATACCAGCGGACCGGGCGGGTCCGCTTGTCGGGGAGAGGGACGACGATGGCGACACCTCGTCGTCTGAGGTTTCCGGCGACCGCCAGGAAGGCCAGCAGCACAGGTCTGCGCGACAGGACTTCCCGGCGGTGATGACTATGGCGGCGGAGCGTGCAGGCTTGCCGCTCCCCCCACCGCTGCCACCGAGGCCGGTGAGCCGCCTACGTCAGGGCTTCTACGGCCCGGCCCGTCCGGCGCAGCCGGCCTTCGTTTCGCCCCAGCCGGCCTTCGTTTCGCCCCCCCCTGCCAGTGTGTGGAGGCCACGTGGCGACAGCCACTGAGAACGAAGGCTCCGGTGGCTACATGGGCTGGAATCCTCAGAGTGCAGGGCCACTCGGACACAGAGTGCCCCGGTGTGCCCCCACTGGATGAAAGCCTGGTGGCCCATCTGCTTCCGCAGGCAGCCGGGTGGGCAGAGGGGAGAAGGCACACCTAGTAATCTAGGTGTGTTGGGAGTGTCGCTGATTACCCCTCAGCAGGACACTTCCGCCCCCCCGCCTGAGGGCAGTAGTGATTACTCGGACCGCTGCGTGGGCCAGATGAATAATCTGGTCCACGGTATGGCTACCGCAGCCGGTCGTGTGATGTCCCTGACCACCGTGGCGTCGCGTCACGTGTGGCTAGGTCTGACCGCACTGGCCAAGAAAGACCGAGCCCTTCCGTTGCCACGGAAGGGCTCTTCGGATCGATATCCTCGGTCACCCAACGCTTCAGTCGCCTGGAGGGAGAGAGGGCGCAGCTCAGCCGCATGCTGGTGGGGTACTGGGTGGGGGGGCTCCGTTCTCCAGGAGTTGACTGGCGGCGGGAGGAAGCGTCCCGACGGAGAGAGGTGATTTCTCCGGCCAGGACGCGAGGGCGAATCCCGCCTCCTCCCTGTTTGACCCCACGATAACAAGGTCCTCTTTTTCAAATGAAAATAAAAGAGAAAAGCATCATGGCGGAGCGCGTGCTCCCACGAGAGCGCAGCGCGTTCAAGGTCCTCAGTAGAAAGTCGGGCCTTTTCTGTGTCGACCCCCCATGGGCAGAGCTTCCCTTCGCGGGGAGTTTTGCGGCGGGACGGGTCGCCAGAGAGTACCACAGCTTTATCGCTGGGGCCCCACAGCTGATTGCACATCCTCTAAACACAGTGTTATGGGGAATGGAAGCGCAGCTGCGTGTTAACGGAGTGGATGGACAGGACGCTGAGACTGGGTTATTCACTCCAGTTTTGCAGCATCCCTCCTCCGTTCACAGGCATAAGAGAGGCAAAGCTATCATCCCGAGGGGAGATTGGTTTTCTCTCAGCAGAGGTTCAGGCCTTGGTGCAAAAACAGGCAGTGTCTGCTGTGCGCACGCAAGACAGAGAGGGGGGGCATTATTCCCTGTACTTCCTGGTTCCCAAAAAGACAGGCAAATTCAGGCCCATTCTGGATCTTCACAGTCTGAATCTCCACATTGAACGCAGAAAATTCCGGATGTTAACTATAAAACAGTTACTGGGACTGGTGCAGCCAGGCGATTGGTTCACAACCATCGACCTGAAGGACGCTTACTTTCATGTCGAGATTGCACCGAAACACAGAAAGTATTTTCGTTTTGCCTTCCAGGGGTGGCCTACGAGTACAACAGGCTACCGTTCGGCTACTCCCTGTCCCCACGCAAGTTCAGCAAATGTGTGGCCACAGCGCTCCAGCCGCTGCGCGGCCGTGGCATGAGAGTTTTCTTTTATCTGGACGACCTCATAGTTATGGCCAGGTCCAGGAAACGGGCAATGTTTTACACAGCCCAATTGATCACACACCTAACCAAGTTGGGTTTTGCGATCAATTGGAAGAAAAGCACCCCCATACCTCACCAACAGGCGTTGTATTTGGGAGTGGTGCTCGATGCAGGCAGGCTACGCGCCACCCTGTCAGAGAGCAGGCAGGCATCCTTGCTTCGGGCAGACTGCGACAGGGGGCAACAGTGACAGCTTTGACTATCATGCAGACACTGGGTCTCATGGCGGCGGCTCACGTTGTGGTCCCGCTCGGGTTACTGCATATGCGCCACCTGCAGAGGTGGTTCTCCAGCCTGCGTTTAGATCTCAAGAGACACAAACGGCGTCTGGTGATCATCCCCCCCTCAGTGGAGGGCAACCTCCGGTTCTGGGGGTCCCCGGATCACCTCCGGAGGGGGTCCCCACTGGGACGGGTGACCTCCTACATCACAGTGTTCACGGATGCATCCGGAACGGGATGGGGAGGGACCTGCCTGAAGAGGGCTCTAGGTGGGCGCTGGCCTCTAATGGCGTGTTTCCACTACACGGCCTCGCTCGGCCCCGCTCGGTATGGCTGGGCCTCGTTAGGACTGGCTCACTTTATGGCGCATTTCCATTACAGTTTAGGAACTGGGGCAGTATCTATAGTAACGCAGTGTAGGCGGAGACGTGACGTGATCTTCAGAGGACCCCAGAAAAACAACACAGCCGTTAGCTGTTAGCACTCAGAGCTCACAGCTCCTCATATATGTTCAGAAACTAGACAAAAGTTAAACAAGTACAAACCACAGACTGCCTGTGTCATGGTGAATACAGTCGCTGCTTTATTTATGTCTGTATAGGCCGTTGTTGTGAGTGTGGACGGTCGGAGCATATACTGCGTTAGCTTAGCCAATCTCCATTTAGAAAACAAGCATTTTAAAAGGTTTTTCCCCTGCCGTCTGTCTGCAGACTTGACAAAGCATTAATTGATGGTTTTTACTAACCGGTATCAGTATGTTGTTACTTCGGCATCATTTTGAAACGTGTATTACAATTAAATCACGGTCAAATATGTCCATCTTGTTGTAGTTGTAGCCCCCTTGCCAGCGACGCTCTCTCTAGTTTAGCATACTCAGCCCGACTCAGCCTCGTTGTCTCTGGCCCTGGACCCACGATTTTATGAGGCCAGAAAAACTGTGAATTAGGACCCGCCGGCCGGTACTAGGCCAAGTGGAAACGCAACCAAAGACGGCCGCTGACGTCACAGCCCTCTTAAACCGGGCTGCGCGCTGTAGTGGAAACGCGCCATATCAGAGACATGGCACAGCAACCTCCTAGAGCTGCGGGCAGTAGTGTTGGTCCTCCAGCATATCAAACCCTTAATTCAGGGGAGACATGTAATGGTCAGGAACGACAACAGCACCACAGTGGCTTATATCAACAGGCAGGGCGGAGTCCGCTCCGCCGCTTTGTTGACCACAGCGGAGAAACTGTGGTTATGGGCTTCAGAGGTGGTGTTATCTCTGAGAGCCCTCCACATTCCGGGTCTGGAGAACAGGGGGGCCGACCTCATGTCGAGGGGCGGACCCCTGCCAGGCAAGTGGGCGCTTCACCCGGAGCACACGAGCCATGGCCAAAGAAGCTGCTTTACGCCTTTCCACCGTTGTGTCTCATTCTCCCGCTCCTGGGGAGAGTGAGGCGAGAACATCTGTCAATCATCCTAGTAGCGCCGGATCGCGTCGGGGCGCCGTGGTACTCAGAGATGACACAGATGAAGGTGGGCCAGCCCTGGGCGCTCCCCCAGTTCTGGGGGGCGATGTCTCAGGAGGCAGGTGCAATCGGGGCGTTACCCACTCTGGGCCAACCTCTCCAGGCTTGGCTCCTGAGAGGGACAGGCTGAGACAGGGTGGATTGTCTGATAGTGTTATTCAGTCTATCCAGGCAGCTAGAGCGGGATCCACCACAGCCTGTTACAGGCCAAAGTGGCTTGGATTCCAGCGATGGTGTGAGGAGCGGAGAATAGAGCCCCTATCTTGTGAATTGGGATCCATTTTGTCGTACTTACAGTTATTGGTGGACAGAGGGCTTGCTCATTCCACAGTGAAAGTGTGAGGGATTTGGCGGCAGGTCAGCCTTTTCTCAGCCACTAATGTTACGTTTTTTTACAGGGGGTCAGGAGGCTGCGCCCAGTAGTGCACGCCTCCGCCCCGCAGTGGGACCTGCCGCTGGTGCTCGAGGCTCTAGTCACAGAACCATTTGAGCCTCTGGAGCTCTCCTCCCTGAAAGCACTGTCGTGGAAGACAGCATTGCTTGCTACTTGCCTTAACGTCAGCCAAAAGAGTGTCCGAGTTAACCGCTCTATCGGTGCACCCAAGTTGTTTAATGATCCGGGGTGACCAGAGCGGGGCGACACTCAGACCGAACCCCTCCTTTGTGCCCGAAAGCCTAAGGAGTGCATTCAGGTCGAGGGCTATTCAGTTGGGGGGCTTTAATCTTCCACCCCATAGTGGGCCGAGGGAGGCTAAATTGCACCTCCTCTGCCCGGTGCGTACGCTAGCATGTTATGTGGAGCGCACGGCTGCCCTTAGACGCACTGAACAGCTGTTTGTGTGCGTCGGGGGCGGGGTGATCGGGAAAGCTCTGTCCAAGAAACGCCTGGCAGGCTGGCTTTGCGAGTGCATTGCACATGCCTACGGACAGACGGGGAGAGCCTTCCCCACGGGGGTCCGTGCACACTCTACACGAGCCATGGCTGTATCAACAGCTTTATTTAACGGTGTGAGTGTGGAGGACATATGCACGGCGGCGTCTTGGTCAACGCCAGGCTCCTTCATAAAGTTTTATCTCTTGGACATGTCTGGCTCCTTTTCATCGTCTGTGCTTGCTGGGGCAACACAGGACTGGTGAGGAGGGAGGGGGGCTGTGTAATGCGCTTACGTTTTGTGCACATGGGCCCATAGGGGCTGGAGTCCTCCACGTCATAGCACACCTCCGCGGGGTAAGCGCGTCAGGGTGTGCTCTGTCAGCCGCAGCCTCAATTTTCTCCACGGTTACGACCGAGGGAGAGGTGAGTGAGGCACAGCGGCTGCTAACCAGAAAGCCGGTTAGGGACAGTGAGATGGAACAGTGTTGTTGTGGGACGACAGCGCGTGTATACGTCGGGGCTCCGCCCACTGTACCCATAGAGTCCAGTAGAGGGCAGAGCCTGTGAGAGATATAACGAGGGGTTACGTACGGTAACCCTTGTTATCAGTGGCGGCCGGTGGTCTTTTTTTTTGGTGGGGCTCTTGACGTACCGTAAGTGACCTACCCGGGGGGTCCGGGGGGTTTCCCCCCGGAAATTCTTTTCGAGAAATGACCCCTTAAATGATGACTTCTGGTGATGTTAGAGGGGGGGGGGGAAAGGAGAAATCGAGGCTTAAAAATATGAGAAGACTGATCAATACCTCCATAATCTTCAGTGTGGAAAATATTATTTATCAACCTGAACATCTACTACTTTACCAGGAATTTGTGTTCTCAGAACTGGTCTGTTTTTTTCTTTCTTAAAACTGTTCATGTTTTATGAACCAACACCTTCACCAAGTAGCTTTACAGTGAACTGCATGTGAGATATAAAATTAATAGCATCTTTTCAGTAGCATTAATTATAAATATTTAAGTGGTTCAATACAAGTCACTACAGCATTTCAAACTGAACTGTGAATAAATGCAATTTAAAAAAAATAACCACAGCACAAAATGTCATAAATTGTGTTTTTTCTTTGTTTCTCTGAGGATTATTTACAAACAGGCTTATTTACATATAGCAATAACTCAGAAATGAAAAAGCTACATCGTCTAACACGAACAACCAGTTAGCATAATGATAATATATGTGTTATGTACAATGTAACTGGCAAGGCTAGAGCAAGAAAGAACATAAAGTTTGCAAAAGGTTTAAATAACTTCAAGTATCTGTCTTCAGATTACGTGGAGGTTTTAGTCCGATGGGAAGCAGATTTTAAGCGACACCGAAGATAAACCAAAAATGTGGTGGAGCTGCAAACCGTGTAGTGTTGCTGGGACAGAACAGGAGCTATAACCGTTGGAAAATACATCACAGACAATGCAACAAACGTGGAGACAGAACAATCACTTCTGTGATAAATGCCCACTTATTAATAAACTTCTAACAACCATGGGAAACCTCCTCTCTACATATAAAGTGATATCCAAGCATGGGAAACAAAAGACAGCATTTACCTGTTTGCATCCAGCTAGCCAAGCCTTTCTTGTGTACCAGCTACTTGTGAAGCCTCGTGTATAAATGTTGTCTTTTTCACGAGATTGCTGCGATATATTCAAATCGGGTTGGTCCGGTGCAAGGTCTTTAAGCAACAATTTATCTGCCAAACTTCTCCTTTCGAAAGGATTGGAGATTAGCTCTTGAACAGAATTAGGCGGGGACCGAGGTCCGGAGACTCCACCTGCACACGAAGCCATCCTCATCAACTACTGCGTCAACCGGATACGAGTCACTGTCCAAACTACTCACAGACTGCACTGGGCGCTGACATTGGCGCCCGGTGACCGTCATCTTTGACGACGCTGATTGGCTGAAATTATATTTTCGCGGCATAGTTTACACGTTACAGATAGCAACAGTCAGCTGCTGGTGGCTGCTGCTGCACTGGTTGAAGGCTCCTCTCTTAGCGCCCAGACGAGAGAAGGTGCATGGGCAAGGCCAGGCAGGAAACATGTGACTTATCAGTAACTTTAGACATCGTAACACAATTTTAAACGAGATTTTATTGTAGATTATACATTTTACTGATACCAATTATATAATATTTACCTTGTTCATTAAAAATAAAAATAAAAACATATATATTTTTTTAAACATATTTTTTTTTTTTAATTTTAATTTTAATTATTATTATTATTATTTTTTTTCAATATGGGAAGAGGTGGGGCGGCGCCCCTAGCGCCCCTATGGACCGGCCGCCACTGCTTGTTATATAAACACAGGCGGAGCCCTCTACTCAGGGGCCCTGTCTGTCCTATGCTGCTTGCTGAAGAGAAGTGTAGGATGACAGTCAGGAGGCGAGGCCTCCTTTTATACGGTGAGATGCGCGCGCATTCAGGTAGGCCCGCCCCGGGGCCGGCTACGTCTAGAAAGTCTCAGTGGATGAATGCTTGCATGATAGGATCAAGGGGAAGTACCCATAGAGTCCAGCAGAGGGCTCCGCCTGTGTTTATATAACAAGGGTTACCATAGTAACCCCTCGTTTTGTAGCAGCATAAGTAGAAATAAATAGAGATAAATAGAGAAACTGAAAAATCTAGAATAAGAGGTATATAAAACAAAAATACAAACTATACAAGAGCAAAAAGAGAAAAATGACAAGGCAAAAGACAGCGTCGAAGTCAGCAAGGTATAGTGCATCTATAAAGTAATGTTTGTCTGTATTAGTATAGAAATACAACATAGTATATAAGGTAATAGAACAATATATGTAATACGTAATGATGTTTTTGTTTGTTTTTAATTAACAGGTGTGCGATAATCAGCGCAATGACCTGCAGCTGCTGCAGTTAAACCTGGAGAGTACCCGGGATATTCTGCGGGAGAAGACCAGTCAGGGAATACCGGGCAGGTAATTAATGTGCAAAAAAAACAAAAGCGAAGAGTTGATGCATGATGTAGGAATGAAGGATATATAAACTTATTTTATTTCATAACTTCTTGCTTTAGAGAAGCTACTGAGTTTGAGTTGGGTGAGGACAATGAAAGAAAAGACCAGCTTTCATGCATTGAGGAGGAGCGTAAGACCCTCTGAGAACAACAGAGGAACATGAAACATTTGAGAGCAGCGATCATTTGCCAAGACTTTTCTCTGAAACCCTAAACATAGATCTGAATACATTTTATTTTATATTATTTGTTCTTCTCTTTTTAAATATCTATTTATTTTTGGTATAGAAATATGCAGAACAAACAACAACTGCACTGCAGAAAAAGCATTTGCATTAAAGAGGAATTGATACAGATAAGTTACAATTATTGACAGAGGTTGAATTTAACTGGGTTATACACACACTCTGTGCTTACTCTCCACAACATCTCAGAGGCACCTACTAAAGTTGAATTATGGCATTGAATGGAAAACATCTTCTTATAAGACATATTAGCAAAGTACAAATGGTTAATGGGTCCATAATGGCTGCCATGGACACAATTTAAACACTGAGAAATTCTACTGAAAGTAATTCAAAGGCAGGAGTCAGCTCTATTTAAGACTTCAATACAGTGCAGCCATGCAGCTAGACATGCATCTAGCTAAATAAAGAGGTAATGACAGTACTAAGACCCATATTGAGCTTTAATGTTTCACACATTTCAATATAATAGAGATATGTGATATTCATCAGTCCTGTTTCTTTTTTGTCTCAGTCAGGAGGAGTTGAGGTGTCTCTGTGTGGACAGACGGTCTCCTCCATCACTCAGAGTGAAGAACTCCAGACTTTTAAATGATGCCCCCTCTCCACCAGCCAATCTGCACACCAGGGTTCACAGTGACCTGCAAGACTTCTCTGCGCACTCCATTGATGTAAGACAGAAACAGTGCCTCATATTGAGAGCAATTTTGTAAATTAAAGAAGTCTAGATAAAGTTCTTAGGAACACATTATTTATATCATCAGTGTGATAGAAATGGTCAACATTTTAAAGGAATGGCCATAATGTATATGCTTTCTTACTGAGAGTTAAATAAGAAGATTGATACCCATTTAATGTCTCTATTGAATATGAAGTTACTGTCAGCTCCTAATAAATTAGCGTGGTGTATTTTAAAAGTGGTAGTATTGCACAGAAATATGCTAAAAAATAATGTTAGGAATGTGCAAAGGTTGAGACTGGTATCACTCTTTTAATCTTACTCCCGGAAAGAAAACATGTAAGTGTATTTATGTGCAGCTGATCACTTAAAGCCCTCTTTCCTCCTCTCACCAGGGTGATGATCCTCTGTCCAGCTGTTCTCTGCAGCAGATGTTAAATGAGTCCAAGCAGGTCACTTGCTCTGTTCACAGTAACAGTGTTCACACTATGAGCTGTGGGACCACTGAACCCCTTTACTCACATAAGAGCCCGCCATCCCACAATGACCACCATCACCACCACCACACAGTCTCCCCGATCTACAAGGTAGTTTCATGATGCTGGGCCTCTTAAAGATTTCTCTCTCCCATTTGTATTCATGGGGTGTGGCATTAAGGGTGTAAAGTGTTCAGTTGAACTGTTCCTTTTTCTAGTTTGGGTGTGTGAAGGCATAACAGCATTGTCATTTTTTCTCCAACAGGCCACTGACTCCACCCAAAGCCTGCCCTCGTCACCACTGGCCATTTGGAAGGCTTGATTTTGACTGAAGCACTTGTATTTTTATTAAAAACTCTAGTATTGACCAAATCTTTTAAAATCAGTGTTACTACAGAACATATATGCTAAAGGTTGAACTCTCTCTCAGGAAAATAATGAAGGAATAAAAGCGATTTATGTCATGAATTTCTAACTTTTGAAAGCATTAATCTCATTGTATTTGTTTAACCTTACACATAATTTAGGGGATACATTAATCATACATGGGTATGTTTTAAAGCCCTGTTTCAGATTTTACAGGCTGCATTGTGTGAAGTGTGTGAGATCACATGGGGAAACCTGTCCTTCAGGGCTGTTGAGTGTGTGTCCTTGTATTGTCTTTCCAGTTTCACTGCCTACACATTTGCCCGGTGACTCAAGAGGAATTGTCGATAGCTGTTCATCGTTTTTACATTTTACAACTTCATTTTTTATTAAAACAAATATTTGTATATGTAAACTACGTGTCAGTAGTTTTTTTGTTGCTGTGAACATATTTTTCAATGCGCTTTTTTAATCATCTGGAGGGCTTTTACGCACAGGAGAAACGGCTTGGTTTTTATTTCAATTGAGCAGACTGTAATCTTGATCTGAAGAAGCGACTCATAGGAGAGCTCTTTTGAGGACGTGCACGCGCCACGTCTGACCATAGCGTCTGACGCACCTATTGTTGTTTTAAAGGGGCGCGAGGGCACAGGTGAGGAGCAGACACCTCGAGCTGGACCTCTGAGGATTCATATCATTATAGTTTGTGTGGATTTACAGCAACAACATGAGCAAAACGAAGAACAAAAGCGAAAATAAGACGGAAAAAGCGTTGGCTGCTGAGAAAGAGCAGTTCGCTAAACAACAGGTATGTTTTTATTATTTATTACAATCAAACTTTTATACTTCGGAGCAGGTTTATTGTTTTCATGTTCTATAGTTTGTGAAATTCAGCTTACGGGAACCACCTTGATAAGTAACATTTTATCACTGTTTAAAAGTGTGGAGCTAAACCCTACAAAAAATATATTTTAAGTTAATTTTTTCACTATTGTAAACGTTCTTTAAATGTTGCCCCCGTTTACGTGTTTGTCTATATCCAACCTTGTGTTTTCTTTTTGTTATCTTATTGTTTTATCTATTTCCGCAAGCGGCAGTCGTTGTTTACCTGTAGGAAAGTTGACTGACTAAAGTTGAGTCTCTTTTCTTTCAGCTCCACAGCATCAGCAAAACTCTCGTCTCAGGAGAAACTCCACTTAAAGAGAAATATGTGCGCAGTATCCTTTTAATTTTTACATTTTAAACCATCTTTCAACTTGGTTCATTAACTGACAAACAAAATGCTTGATATCAAAGTTCCTCTAAGTAACCATGGTAAGATGTGTGACGGTATTGTAGTAATTGCAATATGCGGTGTGTTTTTTTATTGTATTTCTATTTACGTTATATGTTTTATGAACTAGAAAGCTGTATATTTTAACTACACATCTAAAAGCCCAACTAGGTCTTATACTTGTAAAATTAGCTATAGCACAAACTCTGCAAAGGACATCAGTTTCACACTGTGTTTTTAACTGCATTGTCCCAATTAAGTAAGAAATTAAATCCAAATTCATTTCACTAACACAAGACAAGAGTACACCGTGCATGCATGGTAATGGCTTTGTGAGGCTTAACTTAAAGCAAAACACTAATTAAGTTAACATTTGACCTGCTGGTGGCGCTAGATAGAAAGTCTGAGGTTCAGAAGCGTTTTTAGGAATCATCCTCTTAGGAACACGAATGTCTGGATAAGAAAATATGGCAATAAATGAAAAGTTGTCAATATATTTCACTCTGAACCAGTAATCTGAAATCTATAAGAAAAGACAAGTGTACTGAAATGTCAAATCAAACTGTTCCTTTATTAACCCCTCCCTTAAGGGATGATCTTGCCAAGACACAAGTCTTATGTTGAGTTAATGCATTAGTATGTTGGAGATTCCTTGACAGCAGTGAAGATATTATCATGGGAACGTATAAGGAGAGTGGAGCCGCCACCTTCTGGTCCTACACCCTCAACCTGCCTCTCTCCAGCAACTCCATGATCTGCTGGAAGTTCTGCTACCTGCTGCACAAAGTGCTCCGGGGGGGACACAGAAATGTGAGTTCAAATCTAAACATCTTCTCAATCTTTTATTTGTTTCCTTTGTCTCACCCTTACCCACTCTTCCTTTTGTAACCTCGCCCCTCTGTGTTTGACTACAGGTCGTTAGAGACTCTCACAGATACTGCCGCAACGTCAAAGACATGGGCGTTCTCTGGGTGAGTAGCAGAGGATGAAGAAGTATTTAGATATTTTACTTTAGTAATGTTTGAAGTACTTCATTGTCAAATGTTTGTAGGAAGTGCCAGTAAAAGCTAAATCTAATCTGAAAAGTAACACATAGTAGTAGAACTCTAGAAAGTATAGTGATTTACTTTTGTAGTAAATTGGAGTAGAAGTATGAGGTAGCGTAAATAGGTAAACAAAAATGTGTGCCTCAGTCTCCCACTTTTAAATAAAAATGTATTTTTTGTGTTTTTAAGTTAGTCTAAATTAAATAAATATAATATGTTAAACATTGAACGCTAGACATCTAAAAAAAAATTGCTCATACAGAGCCAAAGATTGTAATGATAGCCATGATCTTTAATCAGTATTTTGTTCTGGCTTCATACATTTTATCTTTCTATGGAATTGTGTAAATAAACCAATGAATAAAGCCATGACAACTCTTTATTGTTATTCCAGGGAAGCTTGCATGATCGATACGGCCAAATTGTTGCACTGTCTGCAAAATTCCTCTGCCTCAAAATGGAATTTCATGCAAAGGTAACTTATATATATTTTGTTATATAAAACTGTTAAAGGGTTTCTATTATGTCATGTTAACATTTAGAATGATACAACTTTTAATTACAAAATAAATGTACAGCACAAGCTGATCCCAGGCAACCTGGAGGCCAGTGATGAGACTTTGGACAAGGAAACAGGAAATGACAAAAACAAAGTGTAAGTTTACCACCATCAATAATTGCTTCTGTTTCTCATTAAATATGAGGCATGTGCTTCATAAATGGGGTTTAAATGTATTGCAGGTTGGATATGACACAGGAACTGATGGATTACCTGGATGCTGGACTGAAGATGGAGGAGACAGGTGAGTCCACCTTTTTCGATCATTCTAGAGATGTTTTTAGGATTATGATACACACACTTGCTGAGGATTTAATGGGATGTGTTGGCAATAAATAAAATACAGAGTAGCACCAGAATTGTTCAGATATTTATTTGATTACGTGTTTTTCTTGTTCAAAGTTCTGCGTCAGCTTGATGCCAACGGCGCCAAATCTGATACTCCAGCTGGACAGTGCAGACTGACTCCTCTGATTCCTCTGATACTGGACTGCAGCTTCCTTTACCACTTCACTGTCCTGCTGATGTTCAAACTGCACAGCTGTAAGCGATATGGCAATATGTTTTTCTCTATTTAATCAAGCTATAGTGTTAGAGAAAGCCTTAAAACGTAATAATCATATCCTCTGCTTTACAGGCATGGCTCCAGATATTCTTCTTGGACATCGAGAGCGGTTCCGAGATCTTTTTAACAGGTAGGAAATCAGAGTTATTAGCAAATACACACTTTTAATTCATCTCTGGGTTATGTTAGTGACAGATATGTTTTCCTCTGCAGCCTCAAACAATTCTTTGACAGAGCCAGAGAAACTGAGTTTTTTAAAACTTTCATCCAGATCCCAGATCTCCCTGATGTAAGTACCATAAATATTTCCGTAGATTTAACTTGAAAAATGGAAGGAAGTATTCAGACCTTTAACATAAGTACTCATTCCACACTGTAAAGTCCTTAATTGAAAATAAAAGGTTTTGTTTAATACACAGGCTCCACCAAACTTCCTCCGCGCTTCTGCCTTGGCTGAATATAAGAGGGCGGTGGTGGTGATACCTAACGAGGAACGTACCGACAGAGAGGAGGCGGAACAGCAACCAGAGACCAGAGAAACACCACAGATGCCACAGGTACATGCGAGACAAAAATGAGAAAAGAAATGCCTTCCACCTCCTTTTCTGGTATCACGGACGGCTGACGTTTAATTTCTTTCTCATGACAGTACTATTTGCCAAACCAAATGGGAGCACAGGATGTTTCAGTGGACCATAGGGAAACCGAAAACGAGGGTCTGAAGAGAGAGCTGCAGGCGCTCAGACCAGAACTACAGCTCATCAAGTCTGAGGTGAGATTATCACATTGGATATATACTCAGTTGTAGAAGAAGTCTTCAAATCCTTTACTTAAACTCTAGTGTGAAAATACTCCCCTTCAACTTAAAGTCCTGCAATCAAAACCTTACTTAAATAAAAGTACAGTATGTATCAAAAAAGTACATGTACAAGTAAATGTACACTTTGTGCAGTAAAATATTACCTTTGAGTGTTTAACTATTATATATGATATGATGTGATCTTTTTCTCAGGCTCGGAGGTGTTTAACTGAGTTGAAGTCTCAGGTGAATCGCCTGGAGGCCGAGGTCGAGGAGGAGCGTAACTACAAACAGATGGCCATGGTGGAGAAGGAGCACCTGCGGATGGAGGTGGAGGGCTTACGGTGCGCTAATGTCGCCAACGTCGGGGCTCAGATCGGATACAAGGAGGCAGACCGTAAGTAAAAAGATTTGTGCACTGGTGAAATATAAATGTAGCTTAGTCTTAATGTGTCTTTTCATCCCATTGTCTCCACAGATCGAGCTCAGTCAGCAGAGCTGCGTTTCACTCAACTCAAAGAGAGACATGCGGAGCTCATCACCAGCCACGCTGACTTAATGAAGAAGGTAAACCTCCTCGTCCTTGTTGTTTCTTTTACTCATTCTATGTAATTTTGAGAAAAACCTGAGATAAAGACACTTTGAAGTATCATTCCTAAAATAACTATACATTTTCTCATCTTTTTCGTATTGATTATGAGGCTGTTGTAGGACCATAGTTGCACAGAATCCGGTTCACGCCAAAAATGTTGTCTTTGTGTGTTTTCAGAATACAGAAACAGTGAAGTTGTTCTCTGGTACAAAACATGGTCACGATGATTTGCTGAGAAGCAAACAGCAGCTTGAAATCGAGCTGGAAAATCTTCGACTGGAGAACAGCAA